AAGTGAACCTCCTGAACGACCGGTGTTGGGATCAGCGGGCTGGGGGGCACCGTCGGCATCAGGAGCGAGGTGTTTTGGGGGAGGATGCAGCCTCTGAGCTCGATCCCCTCCTGCCTGGGGCATCCGAAACGCCCCACAGGGACATGGGGACTTGGCAAGATTGAGCTGGTGTGTTCAGTGTGCTAGTACTCCCAACAATCCATAAACAGAGAGGAAGGATTTTGCTCACTAGGCAGTTTTCTGGTGGCTTTTATTTCATTCTCCATGCACGTCCCATGATTTTGGTTATTTTCTGTAGTCTGGTGCTGGAGTCAGATGATGATTTGAGCATCTCAGCTTCTGGTTTTATTCTTGTTTTAAATCCATGTGCTTATTGCTACAGTCTAAACATACGATTTTGTGGGCCCCAAGTGCTTTAGCCGTTGGAAGCAGAGAAATTCTTTGGATGGTATTTTTTGATGTAAGAAGTAATTTCATGATCTTTGGGACTTCTTTTCGGTTTGATTCCTGTTGTCTGGCTGTTTGTAGAGGACAGGGTCTTGTGTTCCCTGGGGACATGAGATATTTGGGGTCTTCAGGTGCTGAAGAGAGCCGAGGAGGTGTGAAGCAGACAGTGATTTCTCATAGAGGAACCCTGGGCTGGACGTGAGGGTGTCCTGGCAGCGTATGTGGAGCAGGGGGGTGTAAAAAGGTTCTTGTGTTTTTCACTTCCTCTTGGTTGCCTTGTAACCAGCTTCAGGCTGGGGTAAAGGAGAAATCAGTGGTTTGAGAAGGGAATGATCCCACTGGAGCGGGAGATGGAGCAGGACAGAGACCTGTGGAGGGAGCGTGCCCTTTGCTGGGGGCCCCTCAAGTCCCCCCGTAAGGACTGGCCCTGCTCTCACCAGATTTGTTCACAAAGCTCCTGGAAGATCCCCTAAATCCTGGGCTCTCGGTGTTCTCTGCTGGGTAATGCTGAGTGTCAGACAGTGGGGCTGGGCACTGCCTGTCCAAAGGTGTGCACCCCTCGGTCCCCCCCCTCCCAAACCTACCCGTCCCTTGGAGAAAGCAGGTTCTTGCATCCAGCCATTGGCTAAATCTGTGACCTTAGAGCAGAGCGTTTAAAACCAGATGTGTCCATCTTCCCTCGCACGAGGCTGCTTCAGTATTTAAAGTGAAACGATTGATGCAGGAAGCAGAAAAATTTATCTGTGAAAAATTGAACTCCAAATACTGGCTTGAGCTCCTTCAGAGCAATAAGAGAGCATGAAATTGATGTGAATCCTCAGGGCTTTCCTGGACAGTGTGCGAGCCCGTTGCAAAACAGTTATTGTAAAATATCTTCTAATTGCAATGCCTAAAGTGGGCACTTCTGTCCCTTTGAACAGCTTTGGTATCTTGTTTTCTCTAGGCAATTATAAGCAGTGGATACACAAAGAAGGACAGGGATCGTTTCGGCAGGAATCAGAGTGCCTTAAACAAACATGATGAATGAATTGATCTCTCCCTCCAGCTCCTTTTGATTTCCCAGTTGGCTGAGAAGAGCAGAGGGCTTGGAGGGAGCGGGGTTGGCACCAGCAGTGGGATCGTCACTGGGGTGGGATCCAGAGCGTGCTGTGGTTGATGCTCCCCTTGACTTCAAGATGCTCATGGTCCAGGCACCCATTCCTGGCACCCTGTCCAAGTCACTCGTTAAAAATGACCCAGGAGCATGCAGGCCCCTCGGGGGGGTGGCTGCAGGGTGCAAAGAGCCTGCTGATACCTCCGTGGTGCCTGGGGTCCCCCCTGTGGCCCCCATTCCTGCATCCCCAAAGCCATGTCTCTGTTTACCAGAGAAACCTGCACTTCCCAGGCATTGCTAAGGGAAATGGTGGCACTGGGATGTCACACACTGGGCTCTGCCAGCTGATGCCTCTCCTTGCTCCATGCTCTGGCCCTTGGAGGTGTCCCTGGTGTTCTGTGCCAGGGTCCCCGTCGGTCAGAGTGGGATGGATCACGTCCATCTCTGCTGCTGCCCAGGGAAGAGAACCCAGGAAGGTGCCACTGGGTCTCAGCAGCTGCATTTTGCCCTGTTTTAAGCTCTGATGCCAGGGGAGGGCAATGCGTGCGGGCACACAGCCTTGCCAAAGTGGCACTGGGGGCTGGGGGACCGGTAACAACCAGGTTCCATCTGGGGGGAAATCAGCTAATGCTTTCCTCTTTACTGAAGAGCTACAGATACCTCAGCTCTCACATTTTAATACGGTCGCTCTAGCCTTGTTCTCTGCTCTGTTGTGACAGCGCAGGCAGAAGGGTGCTGGAGGCTGAAGTTTCTTGCAGTTCTTAATGTAGGTTCAATATTAATTGCAGTGTTTCTGTAGTGCTGTTCTTTGGTGTAGAAGTTTATAAACAATGGCAGGGAATAATAAGTGTGACCAAAGTGCTTAAATAATGCTACAGGGGTGGTGTGAGGGAAATTACAGAGCTCAGTGGTGGGGCTTGAGCAGGACGTGCAAGAGCCCTCAGCTCTCTGCAAATGTCTTTCTCAAGTCATTTTGCTTCTTTGTGCCTCGTTTTATCCCATCTGTGATGTGGGGACAGCACTGGCTGCCGACCACTGGTGAGAGGTGTGGGGGGAACAACCAGTGAAGTACAAAGGGGAGTTAGCCCCATTGTGAGACGCCGCTCAACAGCGTGGTGACGGGGAAATTTGTTTTCGGCCGAACGAGCTGATTAATGCCGTGCCGGGCAAATGTAATTGCAGTGGGGGAGGATTGATTACTTTCAGGACGTTGGATTGATTTAGGGATCCTCCAGCAATGGAGCCAGCCCATGAGTCTGTACCAGTAAGCAGGTTTTTGTCAATCTTGATAATCAACCCCGGTTCCCATCTCCTGCTCCTGGTGCTGCCGCTCCGCCTGCGCCCGGCTTGAGTTGTTGGGAGTGCCATGTCCCACAGAGGCTTTTATCTCAGAATTGGGATAAGAGCATTCTTTTGGGGGTGGAGGGATTAATTTTTTACACATCTGTCCCCTGGAATGCAATAACAGATCCTTTGTTTGGGCTCTTTCTGTGGAGTGCCTTCTCCACCCTTGTTATTTCATTCTTCTTTTTGCATGGCAAAACTTTTTGTCCTGCATTTCAAATAGATACTGAGCGTCCCTGGCAGTTGAACAAGAGAAACAAACTTTCCAGCCCTGTTTTTTATGCTGCTTTCAGGGGGTGCTTGGTGATTTGAAGGGTATTTGATTGCTTTTGGCAGAGGCATTTTATTCCATGGAAAATCCACAGCTCCTCTGATCCTTTACGGATGGTTTAGGGAGCCCCTGGAGCGTCCAAATGAGAGATTTGCTGTTGGCCAGCTGGTCCTGGAGGTGCCATGGGAACGCTGAGGACTCTGCTCTTGGGGTGGGCGCCGCGGTGGGCAGGGAGCGGAGGCTGCAGGGACGGTGCCAGCTCTGCTCCCTCCTGACCCGCGGCGGGAGGGCTTGGGGCTTGGCCGAGCCCTTGTCCTGCTGCTGTTTGAAGGTTGGTTTGTCTCTAACACCGATGTCTTCTCACTCCAGGATATTGCAGCTCCAGCACTAAATGTATATGGGGCACCCAACCAGGGTCGGTGGCTCCATCACCAGCAAGAGGGAATTTAGCCCTTGGGCATTTGGTTATAATATCCCCCGGTCTGGATGTGCGTCCCCCTGCATCCCCCTCCACAGAGGTTGTAGCAGTTCATCAGCACGATAAAAACAAACAGGTTCACGTTGGTGTTAAGGAGCAGGATTTGCAGTGCGGTGCGTGGGCTGTGCACACGGGGAGCAGCAGCAGACAGCAGCCTGGGGTAGCTGTGCATACATTTACCTATACTATTATTTTTTTTTCCCCCAACAGCCCTATTACCATATTTAAATGCAAGTATGTCTTTTTTTAATTGATGTTTTAAGTAGCTTCAAGTCACTCTAGCCTAGTTGTTCTCTGCTCTTTTCCCCCTGGTAGATTACCTGTAGCTGAGACGATAGCGCTAGAGGTAGCGGGGCTTGTAGTCTGCTGGTTTCTTGGGGTCTCGCTCTCTCCGTTCCTGGAGCTCGCTGTCCTCTTTTTCTGTCGCCTCGGTTGTTTTTCTGTAATTCTTCAGCATTGCAAAGCAGCTGTGATCAAAGCCCTTGAGCCCGCTGGAGGGGCAAGTCCTGTCGTGGTGATAACCCCGGGGTTGTCCCAACGGGCACCAGGAGCTCCCCAGAGACCAGGAATCTCCAAGGGTTTGGGTTGACTTTGCAGCAAGAGGGTTTGGGGTCCTTGCTGATCACCTGGGCCTTGCGGCTGCCCTCTTAAAATATATATATTTAAAGTTAGAGCCTCTGGCAGATCTTTTGAATATTAATTATGTAAAGAAACTAAATCTGCAATCTTGCTAGCAGCATTTCATTCATCTGCAAGGGCTCAGTCCCCCTGTAGCAGGGTGTATGTCTTAGAGCTCCTTGATCTGCGGCTGTTTTGCTTTCAAAAGCTTTTTTTCTTTCTTTCTTTCTTTCCTTCTTTTTTAAATTACATTCCAGTGAAATTTTTTTTTCTGCTTGATCCCAGCAAATCTGTGATCTTGACATGAGGACCTCCTCATATTTTCCATTTACTGCTATGTCTGTAGATCAGCACATTATTATCACTTGCAAATAAGCCCAAGAAGATAATTCCCCAGTTGTTTTGCGGAGCGGCCTGACCCTGGCCGTTGGGAGAGTCCGGAGACGTGAGCTGAGCGCTTGCAGGCTCTGCCACCAGCCTGTCCGCCCCAGCACCTCGGCTTTCGTGGCGTGCCGTGGCCTGGCACCACCTTCCTCTTCTGCCAAGGGGATTTGGGGCCACCGTTGTACCGGCAGCGGGCACCCGGCGAGGGCTCGGCTCTGTCCAAAGATGGTGCCCGTTGATGGCACGGAGAGCCGGGATGGCGACCTCTGGAAACGCCATGCCCTCGGCGGCCACCCCGCGCCCTGCAGAGACTCGCGGTACCCGCTGGCTTCTTTCTTTACCCTTCTCCTTTTCTCCACGGCCAGGTTTTCCGGCAGCGGCTTATGGACCAGTAGCAGCGGCAGCCGTGGCGGCAGCAAGAGGATCAGGTAGGGGGGCCCGTGGAAGAGCAAACCCTCAGAGTGCAGGGTCAGGTAAAAGCTCTGTCGGTATTCTGTGTGGCTGCAGCTCTCCATCATTTCTCTGATTTTCCTCACACTTATCCTGGGGACCTGAAAACAAATGATCAAAAATAATAATTTAAAAAAAAAGTAAAAAAAAGATACATAAGAACTAAGTAATCAATCCCAAACCAAACCCAAACTACAAGCAGAGGCCACGGGGCCTGGAGCACCTTGCAGGAGATTGGCGTAAGAACTGCCAAAACCAGGGTAGATATTCTGATTTGTTTCTTTATTTATTCCTTTATTATGTTGGTTTCTTTGTTTCTTTGGTTTAAATTCGAGGTTATAAAGGACACCCCAAAAAAAAAAAAATATCGATTTGCGTTTTTGAAAAAAAGGTTTCGTTTCTCATGGAAAGCTGGCGCTGGGGCGAGGGGGCGGCGGCGGCCCCGGGTGCTCCCGCCATGCCCGGAGCCGCTCTCGCCTCCTCGGCTGCCGCCGGCATGAGGGTTGGCCTTCATGGGGCACCCGGTGTCGAGGGACCGTGTCCCCTCGGGGACAGTGTGTCCCCGACCCACACGGGTGAATGCCATCCCTCACGCTGCCGGCACCAGAGCGCGGCTGGCACCTCTCTGGCCCTGCCCGCTTCGCACCCCGGCCTGCCTTCATGGGGAATGCCAAAGCTTTTCTTCCTGTCCTTCTGAAAACTTTTATTTTTTTCCCCTTAAGGGAAATAAATAAATCGTTGCCAATTGCCGTTACTACCTTAGGTTTTAAATTTAGCCCAACACGTGAATTAGTGCTTTGCGCAGGTAATTAAGTGGTCAGTAGAGCCATCAGTGAGCTGTTGGCTCGGGGCCGCCATCTTGGCTCCCCGACCTGCCCACATCATTCCGGGACGGAGCCGCTGCCATCCCCGTGCCTCCTGCCCGGCCCCGCAGCCGCCATCCCCGGCTCAACGGCTTTCAGGGCCGAGGTGCCGGAGCGGAGGCCATGGTGGTGGCAGTGGTTTCCAGCTCACTCATGGCGCAGCCCTGAAGCAGGGGTTTCTCGGTGGCTTTTCTGGCAGCCCCCGGGTGGATTCACCGGGCTCTTGCCGAAAAGACCCGACCAAACCACCGCGTGAGGGGCTAACGAGGAGGGCGCAGGCCCAGGTGTGTCTCGAGTGTGAGCCTGATGCCATGGAGGCCAAAGAAAGACACCAGGAGAACTCCGTTCCATGCAAACTGGCACTGCTTGCAGGCTACAAAGGATTATCTGTACCAGTTTCATCTTGTGGCATGTAGAGAGCGCCTAAGGGGTGACTTGCCAGACTGGTTGTGGGGATTCCCCATCTCCCAGCTTTTCCTACTGCCCCTTCATGGTGGAGGGGGGGGAGAAAAAAAAAAGAAAAGAAAAGAAAAACAAACTTAGAGATTGATTTTGCATATGATTTCGGGAAAACAGACTTCATTCTTTCTGCCTCTTCCTCATGTTTTGCCCTTCAGGTTTTGTTTTACGTGCAAACAGACCTGGTGAGTTGCCCCTTAGCAAGGCACAGAGGGTTTGGCTGGATTAACGTTGCTTCCCTGATTATTATTATTTATTTTTTTTTAATCGGAGTGCTTTTGGTGCCCATTACAACTGAACTGAGCATTGATCAATTCTGTGCCTGAAAATCATTTGTCTTTAATTTGAGTGTTTTTTGGTTTCTTTTTTGTTGGGTTTTCTGTTTTGTTTTGGTTTTCTGTTTTTTGGTTTTTTATTTGAACTTGCAATACGAAACTAAATCTAACCCTAAATTAACAACACCCTTTCTGGCAAGTTTAAAGAGCAGTATGGTGTTTGGAAATGTCTTTCAAGCCTCAAAATTGCCTGTGTGCACAAAACTGGCAAAAACCCCAAAACTGAATCAAAACACAGACCCCCCCGCCTCCCTTCCCCAGCCCTGAGATCTCAAGGAGGAAGATGGGTTTGTCACCACCCGGGTCCCGCCGCCGCTCACATTTGCGGCAAAACGTGCTCTGGGAACGGTGGTGTTTAACGTAGAGTCATTTCCATCCAAAGAGGGTTTTCGGCAGGGACATCCTGGGTTTACCACTTCCATCCAGCAATGGTAGTGAATTGTATTCAGGAGCAGTAGAGACCGATCAATCTTGCGCTGCAGTGTACGGGCCCGATTCATTACAAGAAAAATGGTTGGGGTTTTTGGTGGTTTTTTTTTTTCTTCCTCTTCGGTTGAGTTTTTCCTTTGCAAATTTGCACAGCCCTCCTTCACGCGTGCCTCATCCAAAAGCACAGAGTGCAGCACAATTTGGCCCTTACTGGCCCCTTTCTTGACAGTAAATGGAAAAAAGCTGGAAAACACCCCGGGAAGGCACATTACACTGCCCCTCCGCTGGGAAAGGCTTTGCCCAGAGGCTGATGGAGACATCCCAATGGCTGCTGCCCCTTCTGCAGCGCTCCGACCCCACTACCTCACTCCAAATTGACCTCCTCTGCTCTCCGGCCCCGTCCTGCCGGCTCTTCCCCACCATCCTGGCATCACAGCACAGCTTGGCCCGGGCACTGGTGCCCACCGGTGTGCATCTTGGTCTTCCAAGGAGGCTGCAGCCCTTTGGCTCCAGCCCCCTGGGCTGCGTGGCCACTGACCACCTCAGTTTCTCCCCAGGGTGATGTTCCTCATCTTAGTAAACCTGAAAATGGAGCCCAGCCCTGGTTCTGCGCTGCCTGGTCTTCCCTGCCCTCGCCCCTTCTTTTTCTATGGCAGTGTGTGAGGATGCAGTCACCATAAACAAGTTCTCCTCTTCTCTGTCACAGCAGAAAGGGACATTTCCCCCTGCTTGTGCCCAGTGCCACTCAGAAATTCACATCTAGCTTAGGGTGAAGGCAGCAATGCTTCTCTTCATAAATCACGTGCCCGATCAACATCCCAGTGATGAGGCAATAGCTGAGGTCCCTGAAGGAGATGGGGAGGTTTGGCCACATCCCTTTACTGTGCTGCCGGATCTCTCAGCTGGTTTGGACAACCTCATCCATTCTTGTATTTTTTTTTAATGAATTGGGACCTGAGCCATGGAAAACGAGCAAACTTAAAAAGTCCGAATGCTGCAAACTCCTCCTAGACAACTTCACTATCAATGTCACGTTTCTTTTGAATCCACCTGACATATTTTACGTGTAAAACATTTTTGTCGTGTAAATGCTTTTTTTAAAATACAGTCATGGGGGGAACACACATTTTTCTCTTGCATTCGACATGGGAGGGATTCATTTGGCAGGAGAGCCAGGCAAGGAAAATTTGGGAGGAGAGGGTTTTCGCTCCTTCCTCTTTTGGTTCATTGACAAGTCTGAGATTTTCCCAGTTCCCCAACCCGTTGCCACCGACTGTTCCTCCCTGGGGACTGGAGACAAAACTGCTAAGGCCATCTGTAACCCAACATGCCTGTCCCGGGTGAGTGGCACGGGCTGCCACGGCCACGCTTTGCCCGCCAAGACGGCTGGTGGCACGCAGCGCGGCAGGACAGCACGGTGCCGCGGCACCAGGAGCTGCTGCCACCCCCCACTTTCCACCCCAAGCCCCTGGCACATCTGGATTTTGGGCGCCAGTCCCCGCTTGCCAGTGCTGCCTTTGAGCCCTGCGCCCCGACAACCCCTTACTGTACTTTATACTTGCCAGCTATAACAAATCTCGTAACGTGAGCTACTGACCTTGATGGTGAGTGTGAGCAGTTATGTTTTGTTGTTTTCTCTCTTGCTTGGTTGGGGCTGCTGTGAGAGAGGGTGTCTCTGAGGCATACTTTCCGGCCTCTCTTACACTCGGACGTGCACACCTCCTCTCAAACACTCTTCTGAGCGCTCTCAGCGGGAAGGTTTGTCCACAACTATTAATCCTCTCTCAGTGTCCAGCTTCTTGTTAGTAGCAGCTGGTTGCATGTTTTTTGCTTGTTCGGACGAAACGGTTCAAGAAACAACTCATATCAACTCTTGAGAAATGTCTCTATTTTTTTGTACACTTTCTTTCTTTTGATGTTTTTTATTAATTTCCCTTACTTAAAAAACAAAACACCTGTCGTCCCGTAAAACATTTCACATCTCCCCTTGCCTGTTCTTAGAGTGTATGTATCTGTGGGACTGAACTAAATGCATGCACTGTAGTAGTCGTACTGGTAGCAGTAGATGTAGTTGTAGAACATGCATTGTTGAGTTGATATTATAGGTATCATCAACGTGAACTAGCGTGGCAGTTAAAAGCATAGCCGTGGTCTGATTGAAAGCGTAGGGCTATCGATACAGCAGAGAGCTGCTAACGGCTTGGATCCATAGTACCGGATTTGTTAAATCCCATTATCTGGAAGTTTAAAATTGAACCCGGCTGTAGGCAACCTACACCCTCTGTACAAGAACCCGCACATGCTGTCACGTTGATAGTAAATTTGCCATATTTTTAAATTCAAATTAACCCCCCTAGGAACTAAAATGCTGACTATAACTATATTCTCTTCTTTTTATTTTGTCTTAAAAAGAACTTAAGATATTTTTAAAATCATTTTACAATCATGGTTTCTTCATCAGCCTGTTACTCGTCCATATTAGCCCATAGAATCATTCGTTGGCAGTCGTAGACCAGATGTGCCAAACGCAGATCACTCCATTTGGGGTAGCTAAAGCAGTAACCGTGTGTGTGAAGCAGCTTCCCGCAGCCTGTCCTGAGACACGACGTGATTGTTTTTGGGTCATAAACCTTAAATCTTGTTATGCAACAGAGACTCTGAGCCAGTGGTGGGTCGTACTCATTGCCATGTCACCCAGCTTAAGGGAATGGTTTTAAATGAAGACTTAACCTTTCATAAATACCAGCATGAGGAGTTCGAGGCAAGTTCATTGTCTTTGCCGTTGAGCCAGTGTCTTTGCTTCTCGTGCCCGGGTTTCTCTGCTAAACTTCTAACTTTCTGTCACAGTTGAAGCTGCAGTCGGTAAATTTAACAGATGGTAATTGAGATCCTGAACTAGGCTTTTGTTTATTTGTTTAGTTTGTTGCTTGTCAGAAAACATCCTGCTGGGATGTGGAAATGCTACTGTACGTGGTGACACCGTCCCCCCTGCCCGTGCCCCCCGGCCCCGCAGTGTGCTGAGCTGGGGCATCTTCCTGCTCCTCTGGGGATAGTCGAGGCAGCCACTAGCGCACTTATTCCAGCGAGCGCTTTCAAAGGAGATAAAATATCCAGAATGGGCTTTCAAAATGTAATTAAGGATTTGTATCCGCTCCTTACCTCTAATAGAACATAAAGTAAATCAAGCAAACAGCCGCTTGGATGGGGCTGACGCAATGCAAGCCTGCGCGAGGCAATCTGAGCCACCCCTATTACTTTCCTTATTGCTACCGGGGAGCTGAAACGCCTGTGCATCAAGAGGGAGAATAATTTCCCCCTTAGATCTCAATCTGCCAGGGAGACGGGGAGGACCCACTGTTTTAACGCGCCAGGCGTATGATGAAGTGAGGAGTGTGTCTAAAAGTCAGCAGAGCGACAAATTGCATGGGGTTTAGGAAGCCTTGTCTTACACTTAAAGAAGGTGCTCTAAAAATTTAATCTTGTCATTAGGCACCCATAGTGTTAGCAAATTACGGCCATAAAGAAGTGGGACAACGGTTGGTCTGTGTGTGCGGAGGGAGAGAAGCCGCCACCAGCTCCTCGTGTAGGGAGGAGCCTCTCAGAGATCCAGCGATGAACCAATTTGGGATTTATAGAGCCTGTTGAGAGGACTCCCTCGTGGCACGGCAGCTCTGATGGAACTGCTCTCCCTCTTTTATTCTGCTATATAAAAGTACATAAAGTTTAATCCCAGCTATGTAATCTCAAAAGCCAGAACCTAACGAGTGGACCACTTGGGAGCAGCAAGCGGGCTGAAATTTCTCACTCCGCTGGAACCGCCGGTAATTATGTGACAGAGCCTGGCGGCTGATGCTTCGCAAAATTAATGGCTGCATCAGATTTTATCTGTTGCTTATCTTCATGGCAGAGGCAGTCTCTGCGCTGGAGAGCTTCGCGGGTGGCCCGGCGGGGAGGGTGAGGTGCAGGGACCCCACAGCACCTGGGGCTTCGCTGGGGGGGCAGACACAAGGACAAATGGGGTGTTTTGAGAAAAAACAGCAGCAGCCGGGTCTGCGCTGAGCCCCTGCCTGAGGGCGAGCACCCCCAGTGCCTCCAGCAAGCGCAGCACGGCTCTGGAGGGGGCCACTCAGCATTTCTGTGGGTGGTTTTGGCCTCGTTACTTATCTTCTTACTCTTCCACAAGCACTATGGTTACTTTTCTGACTACTACCCCGAACTGAAAAAAAAATGATGAAAGGGAAGTAATTTCTCTTTCGGTTCAGAATTGTTGAGCTGGTCCAAGTTGGGAGCTGCACAGGTCCTTTCCAGAACACAGATAAAAATGGTTTGTCCTGTTTTGCTGTAGGATGCCGCTTTTTGATTGATTTGGTCCACGAGGGACTGAGGGAGTGTAGTGATGGGCCAGGGGGTAATGGTTTTGA